AAAACAGAGAATAACAGGGAATAAAAGTAAATAAAAGGGAAGAACAGGGAATAACAGAGAGTAACAGGGAAGAACAGAGAGTAACAGGGAAGAACAGGGAATAACAGGAAATGACAGGGAGTAACAGGAAATAACAGGGAGTAACAGGGAATAACAGAAAGTAACAGGGAAGAACAGGGAATAACAGGAAATGACAGGGAGTAACAGGAAATAACAGGGAAGAACAGAGAGTAACAGGGAAGAACAGAGAGTAACAGGGAAGAACAGAGAGTAACAGGGAAGAACAGGGAATAACAGGAAATGACAGGGAGTAACAGGAAATAACAGGGAGTAACAGGAAATAACAGGGAGTAACAGGGAAGAACAGGGAATAACAGGAAATGACAGGGAGTAACAGGAAATAACAGGGAGTAACAGGGAATAACAGAGAGTAACAAGGAAGAACAGGGAATAACAGGAAATGACAGGGAGTAACAGGAAATAACAGGGAGTAACAGGGAATAACAGAGAGTAACAGAGAAGAACAGGGAAGAACAGGAAATTACAGGGAGTAACAGGAAATAACAGGGAGTAACAGGGAATAACAGAGAGTAACAGGGAAGAACAGGGAATAACAGGGAAGAACAGGGAAGAACAGGAAAACACAGGGAAGAACAGGGAAGAACAGGAAATAACAGGAAATGACAGGGAGTAACAGGAAAACACAGGGAAGAACAAGGAATAACAGGGAAGAACAGGGAATAACAGGGAAGAACAAGGAATAACAGGGAAGAACAGGAAATAACAGGGAATAACAGGAAATAAGAGGGGGTTAACAGAGAAGAACAGGGAATAATGGGAAATAACAGGAAAGAACAGGGAAGGACAGGATATAAGAGGGGGTTAACAGAGAAGAACAGGGAATAATGGGAAATAACAGGAAAGAACAAGGAAGGACAGGAAATAACAAGAAAAAATAGGGAATAACAGAGAAGGACAGGGAAAAACAGGGAAGAACATGGAAAAACAGAGAAGAACAGGAAGAACAGGAAATAACAGGGAAGGACAGGGAATAACAGGGAATAACATGAAAAAAAAACAGAGAATAACAGGGAATAAAAGTAAATAAAAGGGAAGAACAGGGAATAACAGAGAGTAACAGGGAAGAACAGAGAGTAACAGGGAAGAACAGGGAATAACAGGAAATGACAGGGAGTAACAGGAAATAACAGGGAGTAACAGGAATAACAGAAAGTAACAGGGAAGAACAGGGAATAACAGGAAATGACAGGAGTAACAGGAAATAACAGGGAAGAACAGAGAGTAACAGGGAAGAACAGAGAGTAACAGGGAAGAACAGAGAGTAACAGGGAAGAACAGGGAATAACAGGAAATGACAGGGAGTAACAGGAAATAACAGGAGTAACAGGAAATAACAGGAGTAACAGGAAGAACAGGGAATAACAGGAAATGACAGGGAGTAACAGGAAATAACAGGGAGTAACAGGGAATAACAGAGAGTAACAAGGAAGAACAGGGAATAACAGGAAATGACAGGAGTAACAGGAAATAACAGGGAGTAACAGGGAATAACAGAGAGTAACAGAGAAGAACAGGGAAGAACAGGAAATTACAGGGAGTAACAGGAAATAACAGGGAGTAACAGGGAATAACAGAGAGTAACAGGGAAGAACAGGGAATAACAGGAAGAACTGGGAAGAACAGGAAAACACAGGGAAGAACAGGGAAGAACAGGAAATAACAGGAAATGACAGGGAGTAACAGGAAAACACAGGGAAGAACAAGGAATAACAGGGAAGAACAGGGAATAACAGGGAAGAACAAGGAATAACAGGGAAGAACAGGAAATAACAGGGAATAACAGGAAATAAGAGGGGGTTAACAGAGAAGAACAGGGAATAATGGGAAATAACAGGAAAGAACAGGGAAGGACAGGATATAAGAGGGGGTTAACAGAGAAGAACAGGGAATAATGGGAAATAACAGGAAAGAACAAGGAAGGACAGGAAATAACAAGAAAAAATAGGGAATAACAGAGAAGGACAGGGAAAAACAGGGAAGAACATGGAAAAACAGAGAAGAACAGGAAGAACAGGAAATAACAGGGAAGGACAGGGAATAACAGGGAATAACATGAAAAAAAAACAGAGAATAACAGGGAATAAAAGTAAATAAAAGGGAAGAACAGGGAATAACAGAGAGTAACAGGGAAGAACAGAGAGTAACAGGAAAGAACAGGGAATAACAGGAAATGACAGGGAGTAACAGGAAATAACAGGGAGTAACAGGAAATGACAGGGAATAACAGGGAAGAACAGGGAATAACAGGAAATGACAGGGAGTAACAGGAAATAACAGGGAATAACAGAGAGTAACAGGGAAGAACAGAGAGTAACAGGGAAGAACAGAGAGTAACAGGGAAGAACAGGGAATAACAGGAAATGACAGGGAGTAACAGGAAATAACAGGGAGTAACAGGAAATAACAGGGAGTAACAGGGAAGAACAGGGAATAACAGGAAATGACAGGGAGTAACAGGAAATAACAGGGAGTAACAGGGAATAACAGAGAGTAACAAGGAAGAACAGGGAATAACAGGAAATGACAGGGAGTAACAGGAAATAACAGGGAGTAACAGGGAATAACAGAGAGTAACAGAGAAGAACAGGGAAGAACAGGAAATGACAGGGAGTAACAGGAAATAACAGGGAGTAACAGGGAATAACAGAGAGTAACAGGGAAGAACAGGGAATAACAGGAAAGAACAGGGAAGAACAGGAAAACACAGGGAAGAACAGGGAAGAACAGGAAATAACAGGAAATGATAGGGAGTAACAGGAAAACACAGGGAAGAACAAGGAATAACAGGGAAGAACAGGGAATAACAGGGAAGAACAAGGAATAACAGGGAAGAACAGGAAATAACAGGAAATAAGAGGGGGTTAACAGAGAAGAACATGGAATAATGGGAAATAACAGGGAAGAACAGGGAAGGACAGGATATAAGAGGGGGTTAACAGAGAAGAACGGGGAATATTGGGAAATAACAGGAAAGAACAGGGAAGGACAGGAAATAACAAGAAAAAATAGGGAATAACAGAGAAGGACAGGGAATAACAGGGAAGAACATGGAAAAACAGAGAAGAACAGGGAAGAACAGGAAGAACAGGAAATAACAGGGAAGGACAGGGAATAACAGGGAATAACATGACAACATGACAAAAAAACATATCAGTTAATGTTTAACTGATATGTCCACTATAATTGTGTAGGTTGACGCCAGTTGGAAGACCGATCTGAACATTGTGACTCCCAAGGCAAAGGGATCGCTCATGGTGGGGGGTACCCACTCCAGAGCTGCTAAGACTGTTATGAACCAGTCCAAACAGGACAAGTACAGCTTCATCAAACAGGAAATACACTGCTCCTATTACAGGTGATATACTTGTTCAAATATAACTACATTAGAGTAGCTAACACCGCTCTCTAGTGGCAACTTTACACATTACACTCTGGGAGGAGCCTGGATGTAGAGTAAATAAGAACACGTTATACGATGGTATAGTTCATAGTTTATATAATGGGTTAGAGTTGGATTATGATTAAACAATCTAGAATAGTATATGTTTTTGCATGAATAGAACTAAGAGTTTCCCTTAATTTATCCCCAAATGTTAAAATGTGTTATCTGAACCAACCAATGTATTTAACCTACATGATCACAACATTTATTTTTCTAATCAACTCTCCATCTTGTGTTTCCTCAGTTACCGGTTGATTGAGGACCCTCCCCTTCACCCTGAGTTCTCTAAGTCCCTGGAACGCCTGCCCCCCCGCTACACCACCCAAACCAAGGTGGACTACACCCGTTTCCTTGACACCTTTGGCACCCACTTCATCAGGAGTGTTAAACTGGGGGGGCGGGTGAAGAGCGTCACCTCCCTGAGAGTGTGTAAGGCTGCCCTGAATGGCTACAATGAGAATGAGGTGATGGCCAATTAAAGTACATATTTAAATTCATTGATTGAAAAAATATACATTACATTTTCATTTTCCAATTTTTAAGGTCAAGGACTGCTTGGAATCGGAGGCCTCTGCCGCCACCCATACTGGAACTGGTGACACTAATGCTGAGACCAAGTTCTGCAAAAAGGACCTTAAAAGTCGTAACACCAAAGAGAGTTTCAGTAGCAGCTTTAATGAAAGGTTTGAGTGTTTTTGATTTGATAGATAACCAATTGTTGTTGTGAAATCGGACTAAAAGTGCTAAACTAACAAACAGGTTTACTGAGGTGGTGGGGGGACAGACGGACGGAACTACTGACCTGCTCTTCTCCCAGACCGGTGGAACCTCCAAGGGCTTTGCTGTTTGGGCAAGCACCCTGAAAACTGTTCCAGACATCATCAATTACTCCCTCCAACCCCTTCACCTATTGGTGAAGCAAGCCAATACGAGGGCAGGGCTTAAGAAAGCAGTGGAGGACTACATCCTGGAACACGCCCTGGTCAAGCACTGCTCTGGGAAGTGTAAGAGTAGCTCCAGACCCAGTGCCCGTGACTCATGCCAGTGTGTGTGCCAGGCCAGCAAGGAGATAACCGGCCAGTGCTGCCCACAGGAGAAAGGGCTTGCACATCTAACGGTGAAGATTAAAAAAGCTGAGGGCCTTTGGGGGGACAACCTGTCTGAAACTGACGGCTTTGTCAAGGTATGATTGCTTTCATTTTCATTTTAAAATGGTATTCATCATTAAAAAGTGCACTTAGTGGGGCTAAGCCAGGATCTGCTAGGTTATAATTGGTTACACTCAGTGGTTAAAGTGGGATTTGGCAGGTAGGGGAACCCTCACATTTTGTGTAGATGCAAGAGGGAAAAAGACAGTCAGAGACTAAGAGACACATTTTTTTTTTACTGTGTTACCGCAAAGAGACACATCTTGCACATGGACAAAAATAATATTCTGAAAATAAAAGTTTAAAAACTATTTCAAAAAAACATGTTGTAGCAACTGGCAGGGGGAATCGAACCAGCAACCTCTGGGTCTTCAACCAAACACAATAACCACTGCACCAAACAGGCATATAGCGGCATACTTGTTATAAATCGCACAATTTGAGTTATTTACATTGTTGTAATTCCCAGAACATGGCGTTATTACGTCGGTAAGCGTGTTAGTGAAGGCGGGGCCACAGGGTGATATTACATTTTGACAGTGAATGTGATTTTTTTTTTAACAATAGCCTTCCATCACCATATCATTGATATTAATGAATCTATTTATTTAATAATTTATCTGAGGTGCCGGAATGCAGTTCCGGACCGTTCCGGCCCACTTTAACCCCTGGTTACACTAGGTTATACTTGGTTACACTAGGTTATACTTGGTTACACTAGGTTATACTTGGTTACACTAGGTTATACTTGGTTACACTAGGTTATACTTGGTTACACTACGATATACTTGGTTACACTACGATATACTTGGGTACACTACGTTATACTTGGTTACACTTGGTTACACTAGGTTATACTTGGTTACACTAGGTTATACCCATTCCTTATATTTTACAACAAAACATGTTGTTGTATCCTTGTATTATATAATAATAATACATTTGTGTTGATTGTATGTGTGAAGGTGTTCATGGGCAACGATGCCAAGCAGACCAGTGTGATCTACAACAATAACAACCCCAGATGGAACTCTGTTTACGTCTTTGACTCTGTCAAGCTCTCCCTGGGCAATGAGCTGAAGTTTTCTGTGTATGACGAAGACAAAACTTGGTACAAGTTTTCAAATGACCTTTTAGGGGAGTGCACCATTCGGCCTGTCAAAGCTGGCTCTTATACCAATGAAATGTGTTCTTTGAACCATGGGAACTTGTTCTACTCCTACACGGTCACCTGCGCCCCTGGACTTGGAGGCCCAACCTGTGATCAGTACGTCTCTTCTCCGATGAACTCTGACCTTTCTGACATCTACACATCCCGTAACGCCCTGAACATGACCCAGGATCTGCTGGCTCACATCCGGATGGGCCTGCCTCTAGTAGATCCATTAGCCATTGTAATGAAGCATCAGGCTAATTATCACCCTCGTCTCTCTGCCCTCAATGAGCTGTAATCTGTTACGTCCCCCTCGCTCTCCCTGTCTCTTTCTCTGTGTTGCTGTTCTTATCTGCAGATTGGAGACAGGTGGAGCTGAGGGGCTTGTTTGTGTGACTGGTTGCACCTGTGGGTGGAGCCAGCCAGGAGTTAAGAGTTCCTGGTGCTCACCCCCACTCCCTTCCTTTCTCCCCAGGCACCATTTTGATTTGCACTTGGCTGGAGAACGCTTGCTTTGTTAGTTACACCTATCAACACATCTTACATTCACTCATACATTTCCATTACACACCTCATATCTTCTATTAACACTTACACATCTTACATTCACCCATGCATTTCCATTACACTCCTCATATGTCTACTATTAACACTTACACATCTTACATTCACTCATACATTTCCATTACACTCCTCATATATCTACTATTAACACTTACACATCTTACATTCACTCATACATTTACATTACACTCCTCATATATCTACTATTAACACTTACACATCTTACATTCACTCATACATTTACATTACACTCCTCATATATCTACTATTAACACTTACACATCTTACATTCACTCATACATTTCCATTACACACCTCATATGTCTACTATCACACTTCACCAGTTAATCATTTGTTGAAAGGATACATTTTTGTGAATATTTGAATAAACCTTTGTTACTCCTTTAAAGTTAACGTGTGGACTCCCTATGAGCCAGATTGTGACAATTCTCAACCTCACAATAATATTTCTAACCTCTTATTCTGAGACAGGAAAATTTTACTTTGGCTGTAATTTTGAAAAACTTGAAAAACGTCCAAAGCATATCCCATGTATTCAGAAATGCAATGTTTCACCTTTATAGCATTCGACTGCTGTGTGTTAACTCACTTTAGCCTGCCACCTGTACTTTGTTCTAGCGACCCCTGCAATAAAACTGCAATTTCATTTAAGATATTGATTGCTTGTTGTCTTTTCTAAAGATCGATTTTTTTAGTGTTCACTTCACTGAAAAAAAAACAGCTTTTGACTGCAAATTAACTCAAAGGCTCGATGAGCTCTTGTAGGTCATCAATGAGAGGCGGCTTGCATATCAGAAGAACCGGCTCTATTTATGCAAAATAAATTGACCCAGGAATCAAAGATGCGTGAAGGAGGGGCGAGCCAACTCACAACCACACGCTTAACAACCCAGAAGAGACAGGAAGGACAGCAGTCAAGAATGTCAGCTAGAAAAAGACTCAGAAGGACAGTAGCATTTGGAACCCTTTTAATAATGTAGACAATGCGAGTTCACCAAAACATGTCAAATAACGCTGCTTCTACACACAACCTTCCTCGGGTTATGCAAAATGTGCACCCAACGGCAAAGCTAGCTGTAGCGGAGCTTGTGAAACTAGTCGGCTTGCTGGTGATGGAGTGAGCTATCCACACGTGGAGATGGATCAAATCAGTCAAGTTGGTCTACTCCGCGACCCAAACCAACACCGTTATATGGACCAGTTGATGCCAACGTCTATGCCTGTAGCCTGGAGCAAAACAAGGCCAAATTGATATTGTATCGGCTAAAATGATTGCTACCAATTTTAGCTATTTCCGATCGGTAGGCAAAAGTCTGAGAAAATTCAATGAACACAATTCCAATCAGGAGTATGATATCATTTAATAAAATTTTTAAAAGAAACAGAATCAGTAAGTGTAGCGTGTTATACGCCAAGTTAGTTTTCACAAACTAGGAATTTGTCTTGATCCATTTCTGCAACATTAATTCCCACATTGAAGGACAAATTGGAACAATACGAGCAGGAGAGACCGTTCTAATGTTTTATCCATGTCTTGTCCTGTACCGCCATCTCCTGGTTCCCATTCGTTTCACCTGTGTCCTGTTATGTCTCCTGTTTAGTTCCCTGTTTCAGTCAGTTGTGTTTATGCACCAGTTGTGGGGGCATTGTCAACAGGTATGTTGTTTTGTTGTGTCATTTCATTTGTTTGTGTTTTCCGTTCTGCCCCGTGTATTATTTGGTCATTTTGTTATTTGACAGCTGTTTGTTTCCAGCCCATCATTCATGCTTCCTGCTTTCTCATTTCTCCTTTGTCCTGAACAGATGTACCATAACTCTGCTCTCTTCTCCTGGGTCCTGTCTCTGACTGACCAGATGTACAGGAACTCTGTCTTCTTCTCCTGGGTCCAGTCTCTGCCTCTATTGCAAATTGTGACCGAATGCTCCCACGCCAAAGACGACCCAGCAGAGCCCAACCACCCACCAAACCTGAGGTTGGTGTGATGATTGTGGATGAATGGCACGATAATGGGCCTTAGGATCTCGTCACGATATCTCTGTGCATTCAAAATGCCATCAATAAAATGCACCTGTGTTCGTTGTCCATAACCACGCTATAACCACGCTATAACCACAAGTGTAGCCTAATGGGGGAAAAACGGTTGTTCTCTTTTTACCACCACAGACACCATCTGACTATTTTTCTCAGTGCACATGATGGACTGATAGAGCATTCTGTTCTGTCTTGAAGCTCACAATGTCAGAATATAATCCGCAGAAGGAAACACTACAAATTGTGTTCCAAATGCAGGAACTTCCAATAGGTACTGTAACTGTCAACGCAACAGGTTGTGCCATTATAAGATGTTCCAAATGCAGGAACTTCCAATAGGTACTGTAACTGTCAACGCAACAGGTTGTGCCATTATAAGATGTTCCAAATGCAGGAACTTCCAATAGGTACTGTAACTGTCAACGCAACAGGTTGTGCCATTATAAGATGTTCCAAATGCAGGAACTTCCAATAGGTACTGTAACTGTCAACGCAACAGGTTGTGCCATTATAAGCTGTTCCAAATGCAGGAACTTCCAATAGGTACTGTAACTGTCAACGCAACAGGTTGTGCCATTATAAGATGTTCCAAATGCAGGAACTTCCAATAGGTACTGTAACTGTCAACGCAACAGGTTGTGCCATTATAAGATGTTCCAAATGCAGGAACTTCCAATAGGTACTGTAACTGTCAACGCAACAGGTTGTGCCATTATAAGATCAAGATCATGTACCGAAAAAAACAATTTGGGAACCACAGGAACACGACGGGCATTATTGCAGAGAGAAAGGCTATAGATAGACAGGAAGGCCAAATGAAACATGTTTAATGGTCTACTAGTCCTTTTGTGTGATTTGAACTTTTGGATGGTGTGTCTCAAGTCGATGTACTGTCTAGTTTTCTTCCAAAGACAACAAAGAAAATGGATGAGAAAGTAAATAATCTACCTCATTCAAAATATTGCTAACGCCAGTCATTTCAGCGGTAACGTTCCCCACTCTGTTACACACAGTTGCCTCAACTAATACATCCGCTGTCATTGGTCAAAAAGTAATCGGCCTGTATGGGCTGACTGAATTTAGCCCAAACTAGCAGCAAATCAGGAAGGTATGCCAGACACCTGTCACTCAAGTCCCCACTCCTGCATAGTAGCACCCCAACATAAATAACGGCTCCATTGGTTCAAAGGCAGTAGCATTGGTGGGCTGACTTCATTTATTAAATGAGAAATTTTATAATTAATGAAATAATATATTGATTCAAAAGCTCTCGTATTAAATAAAATCAATTGATAAAAATACACTGAATAAAACCATTTCAATTTCATGTTTACATTTTATCATCACAGTTTTTATTATTACAATTAGATTTTTATGAATTTTATGATTGCAATTTTTATAATTGACATTTCTCAATAAAATGTTTGTTATTACACTTTATATCATAACATGAGAACACAACGCACAACCTTTCAATCTTATGCCCCGCCCACATTTGTATGCCGTGTTTGGGAATTTAGAAAGAAGCTTTCCGACTAGTTGGCAGAGGATGTCTTTGCTAATGATAGAGCAAAGGATTTGTGTTGCCAGTTGATTACCATGAAGACGTTTTAATAGACAATATTTGAAAAACTGG